AAAGGTGAGACAATCATTTATTTATTAGACAGAGCAGGTCATTAAAAGTGAGGAAACATATTCAAAAGAATGTGCTTTTCTTGTGTTATAGGTACTGATGCTCACAACAAACAACACTGCTCAATACGTCATGGAAACAGGCCACATAGAGCCAAGAAGATGCTGTCATGCCACTGAAAAAGAAGCTACACTGCTTAGGAAACATTCCCTAAGGCAGTGGTTCTCAATCTTGGCTGCACATTAGAATCACCTGGGAATCTTTTTAAAATCCTGATTTCTGGGCCTCATCCTCCGGAAATTCTGTTTCTTTGTTATGGGTTGGGGCCACAACACTAGTAACAAAGAAACAAAATTTCCGGAGGAGGAGGCCCAGAAATCAGGATTTTAAAAAGATTCCCAGGTGATTCTAATGTGCAGCCAAGATTGAGAACCACTGAGAGCGTCAGCCTGGGGACTGAAGGGTCCCAGGTTTGATTCCTGTTAAGGGCATGTACCTCGGTTGCAGGCACATCCCCAGTAGGGGATGTGCAGGAGGCAGCTGATCGATGCTTCTCTCTCATCGATGTTTCTAACTCCATCCCTCTCCCTTTCTCTCTGTAAAAAATCAATAAAATATATTTTTTTTAAAAAAGATTCCCAGGTGATTCTAATGTGCAGCCAAGGTTGAGAACCACTGGGTTACAGAGAGCTCCAATTCACTGTTCTACATTTTCTGCAGCTGAACCATTAGCTCATAGCATTTGGCTGGTTCCCTGGTTACTAAGAAGTGAGTCTTCCCATATTCTAGAGAGCTTTCAATAGTTCAGACTTCTGAATGTCACTGAAATCAGTCATCTGCAGGCTGAATTAGCTTACATTACTACATTTTTGGGACTTACCCTAGGTCAGAGGTGGAGACTGTCTTGCCCATGGACTGAGCCATATAAGGCCCACAAAATCACTTGGTCTGGCCCTGCCAAGGCATTGGGGGTGAGTTAATTAAATGTTTAACCAAATACAGCAGGCTAATTTTTAAGTTGATAATTTTGTATGGCCTGCGAATGATGTTATAAATACCCAAATGGCCCTTGGCAGAAAAAAAGTTCCCCACCCCTTACCCTAGGTAGTCATGGACTGTCTCATAGTATAAATAAAATTTGGACCTAACCTATTTAGCCCTGTTAAAATTCACCTGAATCACTTCAGTTCGATGGTACATACTTGAAAAAGATAGCAGAAATTCACTGGAGGAAAGTAAAGAAATTCGGAAGTTCACCTGGCCCTGAGTATATAAATAAGCTGCTAGCAAAGTGAGACACATTTGAAAACTACTATGTCAATTATTTTCCAAATTATTTGGCATCATTTTTAGCAGGACTTTACTGGCTAGGCAGGCAAAGATTTCAATATCCACTCTAGAGACTAACCAAAATATTATAAGTAGTAGTATGTCATGAATATTTGGTTATGAGGAAAAAACTATTCAGCATGCGATTGAATGAGAAACCTATTAGGTATCTGACATTCCGTCCTTACATCTACTGATTTTACCAACCACTTCCTTTCACAGTAGTCACAGTTCTTAAGATGACAAGTTCTCATTCCACATAGGACAAAGCCTATTTAGGAAGCCACTCATGAAAGACCAGATATTATATGAATTCATTTATAGTAAATGACCAGAAGGCAAATCATAGAGATTGAAAGTAGATTAGTGGTTGCTTGGGGCTGGGAGGCATTGGGAGAAAATGAAATATGAATGCTTAAAAGGTAGAGGGTTTCTTTTTGGGGTGATGACAATGTTCTCAAATTGACTGTAGTCATGGTTGCACAACTTGTGACTATATTGTAAAACCACTGAATTATACCTTTTAAATGGCTGAATTGTAAGGTATGTGAATTATATCTTAATAAAGTTGTTATGAAAACATATTAGGAAGGGAAGACAGTCCCAAGAGAACATGAGGCTCTTGCAAATCCAGTCATATCTGAAACAGCATACAAGCTGATATATAAGGAGCTGGTTTCTCACACACTATTTTGATTTGATTATCACCACTTTTGATTAACCCCTGACAACATTTTTAACTAATTTCTAAATTATTTTAGGTTATCAGAAGATTTATAACTTTGTTTTCCTTAGAGATCATAGTCAGTGTTTCACAGAAAGACTAGGTTGGCAAAACAAAGCTAAACAAAACAATAAAAACCAAATAAAAAAATAATCACCTGCTTTGAGGCTATGCATTTTACAAGGCAGAATAGAAGAGCTGAGGTTCATTCCTAAAGGAAAAAAAATGCCATCAAATGTAAGGGCATCATGTCTCTTGTCTAAAGCACGTTTCCTTTTCAAATCTGCATAGATATTCCCTTTACATCTATACAGTTCAACATAAGCCATATTTACTATACCTGTAGAATTCAATAAAATCAATGTTCTCTACAAAGAAATGTTAAGCTTTCTGCAGATCAAAAAGCTAGCCAAATTTCCTTAAAACTAAAATTACTGTTTCTAAAAAGCACTATTCTGTATCTTCAGCCTCATAAAACTAAAATTACTATTTCTAAAAAATTTCTACTCTGTATTAACATACCATGATGATGGAAAACTCTAAGCCTGCTACAAGTCAAAAGCTACAAAACAATTTCTTTAAAAATGACCTGAATTTTTAAAAAATATATTAGCTCCAAATATTTAGAACATATTCGGCCAAATTTCTTTGAAGTCTACCTTTAACAAGAAATTTATTTTTACTAATTCACTAGTGTAATATGCAATAAAGAAAGACTTTGCATAAGTTAAACTGGCTAATTACAAGTAATCAGTTTTCCTCAGTGATTACTATTCCTCTACATAGGCAGGGTAATTAAATCACAAAGGGTCTTTTTGGTGTATCTTCAACTATTCTTACACTACATAACCAATTAGGGAATTTTTTACAGTTAAAGAGAACACAAGTAGCTTTATAGGAAGTTGAGTGTGTTAAATATACATATGTTTGTTATGAAAAAGAATTTCTGACACAAAAATTGCTCACTGCACAGAGAAGCATAGAGAAGTGATGAAACAAGACAGCTGATGTTTGATGGTACATGGGAGTCAGGTGGAGTGAGAAGTCATAGATAAATTAAAAACTGGCAAGTATCTGTTGAAGCAGAGCCACTTTTTTGGGGGCATAAGAAAAAATGATGTCACCTTTTTAAATCTCTTTAGAGAAGTCAATTTGTTGTTAAGAAATGAAGACCAAATTTTAAAAAAAATGAAGACCATTTTATTACCATTAATGCTGCAAAATGCAGTAGTCACACTGATTCCAAAAGGATCCTAAATACTGTGGTGCAAAGAAAAGAAACCTAAGAAAATAATTACAAAAAAACCCCACACATTTTCCCCAAAGAAATGTGTTCAAAACAGTGACTCTTAAAGACAGAGGGAGATTCCACACAGAAGAGGAGGAGACAGTGTGATCACAGAGACAAAAGAGGGAGTGATGTGGTCACAAACCAAGGGATGCTCAGAGGCATCAGAAGCTGCAAGGGCCAAGGAACAGATTCTCCCCTAGGGCGTTTGGTGGGGGTACAACCCTGCTGACACCTTGATTTTGGACTTCCAGGCTTCAAAATTGTGAGAGAATAAATTTCTGTTGTTTAAAAAAAAAACACACAAAAAAAACCAGTGACTCTTACAAAAGATGTCAATTTGTTGTAAATGAAAAAAAGAATTCTCACTATGAAAGATCAAGGGCTCCTTTCACAAATAATTAGTACTGCATCAATAACTTGACGTTCACTGCAGCACTATTTACAATCTATATATATAAAAGCCCAGTGACCGAATGATGGAACGACCTGTCCACCAGTCACTGTGTTGTGCACTGACCACCAGGGGGCAGATGCTCAATGCAGGAGCTGCCCCCTGGTGGTCAGTGTGCTCCCACAGTGGGAGTGCTGTTTGGCTGACTGGGATGAGTGGCTGCTCCTGCAGTGGGAGCAGCCGCTAGCAGGCCCAGTCTCTGTACCTATCAAATACCTGAGACAATCTAAACTCTGGCCTGACCCCACCAGCTGATGCAGGCCCTCCTCTAAGGTGTCTAGAAAGAGCGTGGGGAGCAGGCACAGGCGGATGGCAAGAGGGACATGACTGTGGACCCCCCGGGGAGGCTGTCCTGATGGCTGAGGATCCTGGAACACAGCTGCCCTGAACATCCCTGATGGTGTCATCTATCTGGCATCACACATCAAGGACATTCAACAAGTGGCTTTGGGGTGCAAAGCTCTCCGCCAGGTTTATCCAGGACATGGAACACACCTTTACCCAAGACATTACCCCAAAATATCAGCTCAGACTAATTTCTTCATTCAGCAGCGGCTCAGAGAGTGGGTCCACAGCCACTCAGCTGACCGAGATGAGTGGCGCTACCATAGTGGGCCGATTCCCGCAGGCTACTCCCCCCACCAGTGCACAAATCCGTGTACCCGGCCTTTAGTAGCCAAGATGTGGAAACAGCCCAAATGCCCATCAGTAGATGAGTGGATAAAAAAGCTATAGTTCATTTACAAATGGATTACTAGTCGGCAGTAAAAAGAAGGAAATCTTGCCTTTTGTGACAGCATGGATGGATGTGGAGAGTATTATGCTAAGTAAAATAAGCCAGTCAGAGAAAGACAAGTACCATATTATTTCACTTATATGTGCAATTTAATGAACAAAATAAACTAAGAACCAAAATAGAAACAAACTCATAGATACAAAGAACAAATTGACAGCTGTCAGAGGGGAGGGGGGTTGGAGGGCTAGGTGAAAAAGGTGAAAGGATTAAACAAAAAGAAAACTCAAAGACACAGACAACAGTATGGTGATTACCAGAGGGTGAGTGAGGTGAGGGAAGATAGAAGAGGGTAAAAAGGGTATAAATGGTAATGGAAAGAGACTTGACTTGGGGTGGTGAACACACAATACAATATACAGATGATACATTATAAAATTGTACACCTGAAACTTATATAATTTTATTAACCAATGTCACCCCAATAAATTCAATTAAAAAAATAAATAAATCTTGAAATTCTCCAAAAAAAATAATTTGATTACAGTGTACAAACAAGGGCCACAGACTTGTTTTAGTTAGATCTAAAAGATCAATATAAATACTTATGGGGGGAGTGTTTTATACTCCAAACTCCAATATTCCAACTCTGTGTCCTGTACTGTTATGATTTGTAAAAATCTTAACGACGCAGGGATTCAAGTTTTCGTAACTTCAACGATGTATTAGAGGACAATGCATCTTGATTTGAAGAATTTGTTGTATCTGAAGGCCGAAACAGTACTCTACCACGATGATTAAATACATAAAATGATGGATGATTCCTTAATGTGTCAAATGTCCTTAAAAGAAAAAAAAAGCATCAATTTTAGATAAATCCTTATAAAAAGCCCATTTGAAAATAAGCAGGCTTCTGGTGAATTTGCTATTAGTTATATTTAAAACTATGTTTAAATTCATGAAACCAGATCATAAATGGTAATCATACTATATCTCATTTCTTTCTTGTATAAGGAAAATAAAAAACCTGGAAAAGCAATATATAGCCATAGAATTTTTCATTCAGCCAGTCCTTCCAGTATGCCTATGAATAACATAAGTAGTTACTCAACTTTAATCACCTCTGTAGATCTAACATAAGCCCATGCCAAATAATCTTTTTCAAAAACCAGTACAGAGATTGTACCTTTGATTAGCCTCATTTGGCCATCACTATCCAAGTCCTATGATCTGTTTTCTAAACATAGTTCAAAGATAACAAAAAAATTCCTTAAATTTCTTTGGTCTTTCTGAACCTGCTGTTGTCCAAATTCATATATTTACCACCTAGTAAAATCATATTTTGCTACCATCTACTTAATGCCTTTCTGTTTTACTTCTTTTTTAAAAAATATATTCTTATTGACTTCAGAGAGGAAAGCAGAGAGAGAGAAACAATGATGAGAATCACTGATCGGTTGCCTCCCACACGCCCCCCACTGGGGATTGAGCCCAAAACCTGGGCATGTGCCCTTGACCGGAATTGAACCCAGAACCCTTCAGTCTGCAAGCCGATGTTCCATCCACAGAGCCAAACCAGCCAGGGCTACTTCTTTCTTTCCTGGCCTTTGCCGGTGATTCTTAGTAGACTCTTTGTAAGAACAGTAGTGGGTGATTACAGTGGCGTATCCTTTCTTCTTCTCCAGTGAGAGATATGTGGTCTAATAAAGTTCACAATCACCTAAGTGTATGGCTTTTAGTGTTGGTTTGTTTCTAAAACAGGAAGCCTGAGATGTGACTATTTAAAATGTAAATAAAAAGAGGTTGATTTTCCTCTAACACATAAATGTTTATTGTGAGTCCTCACAAGAAAATATTATAAAAGGTTAAATTTTCCAGAATAAAGAAGTGGGTAAAGTTCAGAGATGGAAATGAACAAAGCTAAAGGATGATTTTATAAAAGAAATATTGCCATGGCTGGTGTGGCTCAGTTGGTTGGGCATTATCCCATGCACTGAAAGATTGCCAGTTCAATTCCCCTTCAGGGCACATTCCCAGGTTGCAGGTGGGGACATGCAGGAGGCAGCTGATCAATGTTTCACTTTCACATCGGTGTTTCTCTCTACCCTCCCTTTATCTCGCTCTAAAAATCAATAAAAAGTCTTTTAAAAAAGAAATACTGACAAGAAAAGCAAGCAAAGTTCATGAAAATAGCTTAGAAGAAGTACAGGAGAAAAAAGAAAGCAGAATAATAAATATACTTTAATCCAGGGGTAGAAAAGGGCCTGAGAACAGAGTTTATATCACAGATTAGATTCAAGTAATAAAGGAAACAGAAAATCCCTTATTCTTCCAAAGATAGAGCTGAGTCAGAGGACAAAAGAGGAAAATAGGAAGGAAGGAGAGGAAAGCAAAGAGAAGGAAGGAGACAGAAGGAAGGAAAAAAATTTCTGAGGGAATATCTTCCTATATATCTATTTCCATCCACCTATCTATCCAAACAACCAATAAGTAATTTTAGGCAAACACAACATCTTATTCTAATATCAATAGTCTGTCATTCAACTTCCATTTTTCCTATCATATCAAACAGTGCCTCAATATTTTGATTTCATTACACAGACATATTGTATAATCAAAATGTAAAAACCAACTTTAAAGTACCAGAACACATACATTTATGTAAATGAAGCAAAACTCTTAAGAAATTAAACACTTACTAAAAGGGGAAAACTTACTTATTTTTTAGTTCTGAAGTGGCATCCATGTCTTTAAACTCCCCTGCAATATGAACTATACCATAACAGGTAACCGCAAAGGCCAGAAGTGTCTGAAGAACTATCTGTGAGCATAAAAATTAAAGATTACTAAATACAAGTATTATTATAAACCTTTACAATTTTATCTCCATAAAATTTTAGCTTCTAACAGGTATTTCTCCCAGATCCTATCAAGGAGTCAATTCTTAGTTTAAAGATTTTGACTTAAACACTATAAAATCTGTAAATTCTGTGGATTGGCTACAAAAATACTTGTGAGTTTTGCTCAAATAACAAAAACAGGTACTGAACCCTAGCCAGCTTGGCTCAGTGGATAGAGCGTTGGACTGTGGACTGAAGGGTCCTGGGTTAGAGTCTGGTCAAGGGCACATGCCTGGGTTGCGGGCTTGATCCCCAGTAGGGGGCGTGCAGGAGGCAGCTAATCGGAGGGTCTCTCTCATCATTGATGATTCTATCTCTCTCTCTCCCTCTCCTTTCCTCTCTGAAATCAATAAAGATATATTTAAAAAAACAGGTACTGAGCCATTCAAAACTCAGTTATCAACTACTATTTGCTTCCAAAAGCAACTGAGAATTTTTAATGTATTATTGTTAAATATCATCCTATATAGTAAAAGGCTAATATGCAAATCAACCAAATGCGGAACAACCGGTCGCTATGATGCACACACTCCACCAGGGGGCAAACGCTCAATGCAGGAGCTGCCCCCTGGTGGTCAGTGCACTCCCACGGGGGGAGCACGGCTCAGCCAGAAGCCAGGCTCACGGCTGGCAAGTGCAGTGGCGGTGGCAGGAGCCTCTCCAACCTCCGTGGCAATGCTAAGGACCCCTCGGGGGAGTGGGCCTAAGCCGGCAGGCTGACATCCCCCGAGGGGTCCCGGACTATGAGAGGGCACAGGCCCGGCTGAGGGACCCCACCCCAGTGCACGAATGTTGTGCACCGGGCCTCTAGTCTACACTAATCAAAGAGAAACATGCAATTTAACCATCACTCCGCCACTCTGCTACACCCACAAGCTACACCCACCAGCCAATCAGGAACGAGTATGCAAATTAACCCAACTAAGATGGTGGAGGCCAGAGCTGGAGCCAACAGGAGGCTTGGGTTGCCCCCGGCGATGGAGGAAGCCAAGCTTCCTGCCTGCCCTGGCTGGCCCTGGGCTCCGCTCAAGGCTACCAAGTTTCAATTATAGAAGATAAATAAACCCCAGATACCTGCTTCCAGCCCACCCTGGCCTCTGCTCAAGGAGGGGCTGAAAAAAAAAAGAAAAAAAGGAGAGGCTGGGAGCTTGGGTCACCAGGGGCGTGGCCAGCCTGAAAACGGCCATCAGCCCCTCATCCAGGCTGGCCAGGCACCCCAGCAGGACCCCCCCCACCCTGAAGGGGCTGTGGCAGCCTGAAAACGGCCCTCAGCCCCTCACCCAGGCTGGCCACACC